ACTGGCGTGGGTGATCATGCCTCTCAACAGTCTGCCATCTGCAGCTGCGTGTATCAGTTCGTCTGTTGCACACCCCTCCATGCCATGACAAAAGACTGTCAAGAATCTTCTCACGCTGTCTTCCTCTGTCTTTCTTTCCACAGATCTTTCCAGTCGTCACAACATATTCTATTTCCCCTCTTCTCATAACGTGACCGATTAATGATGACCCACTCTTACTGATGTTTGTGATACGGCGTCTTTGAGCATTCTCCTTTTTCAGAACATCTGGGTTGCTTTTCTTAGCTGTCCAATAGATTCTAAGGATTCTTTTGAAAACCACATCTCCGCGGTAAAAAGTAAATATCAAATGCAAAGACTGTAAAACAAACAACATTCTTAGCTCAGAGTGCATAAAGAAAGAAAATGTGTTAAATGGCATAACATAAATTCGCCAATATAACTGGTATAAACAAAGACAGAACAATTTATAAAAAATTTTCAAATACACATATTAAATAATATATAAAAATTGTACCCCACTAGGACATCACACAAGCGATAAAAACCATGTGGGTGGAGAGGCTCAGCCGTGTGGCCAAATTTCAGGCCCGGCTATATTTAGGGCTCCAAGCAAAAGCCGGGGTGGGGCTTCAAAATAACGAACAATTTCATCCCTCAAGGGGATGAGATTATATTAAAATAATGAACAAACATCTCACACCAATATATTATAAATGGTGCTATTCGCAGTTTTTCAGATTTTTTTATTTTATTATGGTCATAATATTTTAACTAAAGAATGCCAAAGGAGATAATGAAACAATTCGTCACATATATTTAAAGCACAAATATAACGGTAGTTGGAAGCCACCGTTGTGTGGTGGCTGTACACTCGCCTGCGGATCGGAAGGTCGTGGGTTCGGATCCAGTCGGAGACGGACTTTTTTTCTTTAACAAAAATGGCCTTATCTCCCAGGTCAACTTATCCATGAGTGTGTTAAAGGTACAGTCCTGGGAAATAATGGCGGTCGGCGTGATGCTGATCACATTATCCACAGAGTGCTGACTGGTCTATAAAATATAGGTCTAGCCCTATATGCCTAATACGCCGGGAAGGTATGGAAGAGGGTCCTCTACTGTAAACAACTATAGGTAATGAAACAATATATGAATTTATTTATAATACATTTTACAGATATAATATGACGTCTGTGGCTTAGGCGTTGCGAGTGCGCGTAATGCCGGGTTCAATCGTAGCTGCTGGCAATTTGGCAACAGTCTGTCTTGCTTCGGGTTCGACAATTGGGTAATAAGTTTACTGTTTACAAGGGCATGGCAAACTACTGAACGTAAAATTTGCCTAGAGAAACCACAATAGCGAAAATATGTTGAGGTCTATTTTGCATTATAAAGGCTACGCAACAAACTTTAATATAATACTCATTAGAAAATAGTTTCATCCATAGATAAAGCGTTCTCCCGCCTCGAGTGCTAGAGGTTCTGGGATCAATCCCTGGTAAGATCCCTGGGATCAATCCCTGGATTTTTTCACATGGACTTGGACTTCTAGTAATTCCCCCTGGTCTCTAGGAAGTGAGATCGGGCGCCCGTGTGTATTGCTGCGGACATAACAAATCCCCTGGCAGTTGGAAATCGACAAGAGTAGCCCAACGGCGCTGCCCGTGCAAAATTTACAGTTAAAAATCTACGTAATATATTTCAGCATCCTCGGCGGTGCTACAGAGCCTGTGCACTGTGCTGAGCTTCTTCGGACTCAGCCGAGTAAGAAGAAGAACGGAGCACTTATACGTTACTACCCGTGTGCCATGATGTTGATTCGTTGTTCAAACCTCAAACCTCGCACATTTCTCCTATTTCTTCACCCCTCTTCAATCCCCTTATTCCCCTCCTTCCACCTTCATTGGTTTTATTTCCATCTTTATCTTGTAAATTTTATCACCTTTTCCTCAATTCTTGATTCGCTGATATTTCATTAAAATATTTTGAAACGAGCTCTTCCTTCTCGTTCCATATTTCGAAATGTTAAATTTATTTACGCACAGTTAGTTAGTTAGTTAGTTAGTTAGTTATTTAGTTAGTTAGTTAGCTAGCTAGTTAGTTAGTTAGTTAGTTATTTAGTTAGTTAGTTAGTAAGCTAGCTAGTTAGTTAGTTAGTTAGTTAGTTAGTTAGTTAGTTAGTTAGTTAGTTAGTTAGTAAGTTAGTTAGTTAGTTAGTTAGTTAGTTAGTTAGTTAGTTAGTTAGTTAGTTAGTTAGTTAGTTAGTTAGTTAGTGAGTTAGTTAGTTAGTTAGTTAGTTAGTTAGTTAGTTAGTTAGTTAGTTAGTTAGTTAGTTAGTTAGTTAGTTAGTTAGTTAGTTAGTTAGTTAGTTAGTTAGTTAGTTAGTTAGTTAGTTAGTTAGTTAGTTAGTTAGTTAGTTAGTTAGTTAGTTAGTTAGTTAGTTAGTTAGTAGTTAGTTAGTTAGTTAGTTAGTTAGTTAGTTAGTTAGTTAGTTAGTTAGTTAGTTAGTTAGTTAGTTAGTTAGTTAGTAGCTAGTTAGTTAGTTAGTTAGTTAGTTAGTTAGTTAGTTAGTTAGTTAGTTAGTTAGTTAGTTAGTTAGTTAGTTAGTTAGTTAGTTAGTTAGTTAGTTAGTTTAGTTAGAAGTTAGTTAGTTAGTTAGTTAGTTAGTTAGTTAGTTAGTTAGTTAGTTAGTTAGTTAGTTAGTTAGTTAGTTAGTTAGTTAGTTAGTTAGTTAGTTAGTTAGTTAGTTAGTTAGTTAGTTAGTTAGTTAGTTAGTTAGTTAGTTAGTTAGTTAGTTAGTTAGTTAGTTAGTTAGTTAGTTAGTTAGTTAGTTAGTTAGCTAGTTAGCTAGTTAGTTAGTTAGTTAGTTAATTAGTTAGTTAGTTAGTTAGTTAGTTAGTTAGCTAGTTAGCTAGTTAGTTAGTTAGTTAGTTAGCTAGTTAGTTAGTTAGTTAGCCAGCTAGTTAGTTAGTTAGCTAGCTAGTTAGTTAGTTAGCTAGTCAGTTAGTTAGCTAGCTAGTTAGTTAGTTAGCTAGTTAGTTATTTAGTTAGTTAGTTAGTTAGTTAGTTAGTTATTTAGTTAGTTAGTTAGCTAGCTAGCTAGCTAGCTAGTTAGTTAGTTAGTTAGTTAGCTAATCGACAGGTGATACTCACTGCACATTGGATAAGTCCATAAGCACTCGGATCCCATCTTCAGCATATCCCTCAGCGTGTGGCGACTGATGACACCAGTTCTGTGTTGGTTTACTATTCTTCTGAATCTTGAATTAAGAATCGACATAACAGCACTTGGGACACCCCCATAAACGCCCAGTCCCCATATTCAGCAGCAAGCAAAGATTTTTAATTCTGATGGCACCAGTAACTCTCTGATTGTATATCCGTCTCGCCTTCCCCCTGAGTGTTGAGCGCCGGCCAGATCCCCTTGTAACTCCTCGTAGACCTATTCCCCCAGACCGCAATGATCTATCTGTGCCTCGGCACTGTTCACTCGCTCCCAAAGAGCCCTCACAATATCCATCCTGTCATACAACAGTTCACCACCAGTTCACTACTCTTCTTTGGCTACCCGTATAGTGTTCATGTCTGGCGACACTTCTTTTGACCTGAAGTTCTTGCAGTCTTTCAGTGGTGCCGATTCAACGCCGTCTCCTGAATCATCTTCTCGTCCTAACACATATTTATTGAAGTTATAAAGTATCAACGAAAATAATTGTATGGTTGGGGGGACACCACAACATGAGTAACTGTATTAAAGGGTCGCCGCATTAGGAAGTTTGAGAGCTACTGGTCTATGGTTTGTTCCTGACAACCCCCCACGCACCCTCCTTCCCAACCCTGAATTATAATTCCTACCCTACCATGTTTTTCCTATTATGAGGACCATCCTCCCCATCCCCACTCCCCACCCACAAGACGAAAACAAGTCCCAACCCAATAAACAAACAAACAAACATACAAAACTACGGATGTACTGAATTATAGTAGAAGATGGCGGGGCTGTACTGGAGTAAATGTACATTTGTGTACTTAAATAAATGCAGATTTCTGTATATTAAAAACGAAGACATGATCTGAAAATAACCCTTAGGACAGAGCTTTCAAAACTGTGTTGCGACACATTAGCGGGTCGTCTACAGTGTGAAAGTCTGTAGAGCGAACATAGACCGTTAAACAGAAAAATCTGCAGGCAACACCGTGTCGTGAACGGCGACAATATTTGGCTACATACAACAAAGGTTTAAAGCGCATTTTAGCAATTTCATATTAACAGTCGTCACCAGTTGTTTTACACTTGTGGAGCTTATGAGGTGGAGATCGAAGCACCTATGGATCTGTCAGGAGTGCTGTTATGATAATCCTAATCACTACAGCAACTTCATGCCATTTTTAAATTTGTAACTTTCTTCTATATAAGCTGCAGGCTTTGGTTGTGAAATAGCCTGTTCAAAGTCTTTTAAGCATTCGAACCCCACCAGGACATCACACAAGCGATAAACACCCGATGACACAATGTGACACCATGCGGATGAGGATCACCGTAAAGAGGTCCCAGAAACCGCGTTCAGCCATTAGGCCATATTTATTGCCAGGCTATATTGCGGCCCCTGACAAGAGCCAGAGTATGGGCTTCAAATAACGAAATATTTAATCCTTAAAATGACGGGAAGTAGTAACGTTATTACTACTAATTGGGTATTTGGACTATTTCTGTTAAACATTCGACTATTTCTGTTGAACATTCGACTATTTAGTAGACTAATGAACTTTACTGAGTGGCGAAATAATATTGAGTCTAAAAAGAGAAAATAGTGTATAACTTACAAGAGAAGTTTTGAAAGCTCTGACTTATGGCGTCTTTTTCAGCAACAAATATTATATATATACACCTGGTCTTAGATATTATAAAAGAACCGGTCTTTTTTTTCGAGGAAAAACGGTGATATTTAACACGCAGACACTTAACTCCCTCCCTTGATTCCACATCCTTGATGTCTCTCTCATTCTTTCGGTGGCTCAGCGCCAGGGTTCAGAAAGCTGAAATTGGTTGGAAATGAAATATTTTCAGTAGAAAACAACCGCGACATATTCAAAATTTTGTGAGACATTCAATTTTTTTTTTTTTTAACGGTGCCTCTCCACAATGAATAGGTGCAGCCACTGCTGCCATTTTGGGGACATTACAAGGTAAGAGACACACCATGTCCTATACAGCACCACTGATATACCACTTTCAGAAGTCAACTGAACGACAGGTTCTGGAACACGACTAATGTTCAGAGGTGAACGAACAACCAGAACTTTCCGCCGGAGTTTACAGCCAGTGAATGCGAAGAAGAAGAGGATTTGATTTGATTTGACTAAAAAACCGACATCACAGCACTCATGTTCAGCAGCCAGCGAAGAGTTCCGATACTAATGGTGTAAGTAGCATTCTGATTAAACGTCCGTCTTGCCTTTCTTCTGAGCCTCGATCATCTGCCAGAACCTCTCGTCACCCCCAACTGCATCAATCTCACCACACTGTGGTGATCAATCTGTTCCTCCGAACTGTACAAGCTCCCCCACAAGGCACTAACCACGTCTGCCTTATCATGCATCAGTATTCCACCAAGTTGTGCAGAGCTAGCCAGTCTGTCCGCCTGTTCATTTCCCAACACCGGCATGACCTGGTGAAAAAATACTCCTCACCCGCGTCTTCGGCAGCGAGGCATGCCACTCTGCACGAAGAGTTCCTGTCCTGCTTTTCCTCAGCATGCTTTCTGAGTCAGTTACAATCACTGTGTGTGTGTGTGGTGTTCTGTAGCCAGCGGAAAGCTGCAGTGACCGCCTCCACCTCCATTCTTAAGCTGGATGTTGTGGTATTATATGCCAGGCTCTCCTGCACAAAACGTCGACCATTAACTTTTGCTAAGAAACCCCAAGCACTTTTTTTGCCTCTTGACACTGAAGCGTCTGTGTAAATGATCAAATCCTCTGAGCGAGCATTATCTTGAATTTATTCCTGAATTTCCACCTCTGTGGCACCTGCTGGTCAGTTTCTGCATTCCCTGCTCATTGTGATTATGACTCTACACAAGTCTCACTGTTCAGGTGGCACTTTGACCCACTCCTCTTCTCGCCTAATGTTCTCAAGGATGCAAACCTGTCTGATTGTGTCTTCTGCCTGAGCCATCCATGACTTCCCTTTTATCTGCCGCTGACACTTAACTGCACCCAGAGCTTCGTGCAAAGGGTGGTCTGTGTCTGCAGTTACCCTAAGATATGACTTCACCTGCAGTACCTTGTGCCTACCTGCAACAGTCGGCAAACCAAGGATGTATCGCATACACACAACCGGGGTGTCTCTGGTGCAACCCAGAATGACCCCATTTGCTGCGTTTTGTATGCGCTCTAGTTTGTCCATCTGGCTCTTTGAAACAGTAAGCATTCCCAGGCCATAATCAACCACTGACAGGATCAGGTGCTGATATAGTGTGAAAAGCATACTCTGCTCTATGTCAATTACAGCCATAGTCTTAAGTGCACTAAGTCCTTTTTGGCATCTTGTCACAACACTCTCCACATGGTCCTTAAAGGACAGACTCCTGTCAAATGTAATTCCCAGATACTTCAGTTTGCTCTCCCTGTTGACGTTTCTACCATCTATCGTGAGACTTCGGACATTAGCTTTAACGATCCTGTTGTCCAGAGAATACCACAAAACAGACCCCTTTTCCGGTTGCACGACAGCCCTCATTTCTGTACACCACTGAGTCACTTTGTCTACTGTCGCTTGTAGCTCCCGAGCTGTTTGTTCCCTCTCTTCCCCCTGCCTGTATGCAAGTATGTCATCCGCAAAAGTCAGTATCCTTCCAACTCCTGGTGCTTCTAGGCTTGCAATCTTGCTCGTATACACGTTAAAGAGCACAGGCGAGATAGCGGATCCCTGGGGCAGTCCTGGGGCCAAACTGCATGGTTCTGAGGTCCATGAGCCCAGTCGAAGAGCAACCCGACGTGAATACAGGACAGCTGCAATCCAGTTCACCATTCATGGACTGTTATAAGCATCCTCGAGATCCAGTACTACCGCCATAGTTTCCTGTCTGTTCTGGAACCCTTCATAGACGTCAAAAGCAGAAGAGGCCGCATTTGCCCAAGTGTCCTTTCCTGGCCTGTAGCTTCCCAGACCTCGCGGGAGAAGCTTCCCCCTTTCCAAAAATTCTTGCAGCTTTACAGCAGCTATCTTCTCCAAGACCTTCCCAAATGTGTTTTGTAAGGTGATGATTCTAAAGCCACTGAGCTTTGAATGATCCTTAATAGGTTTTGGTAGTTGGATTAGATAGCTGTGCTCCCAGTCCTGCGGTACTTTTGCTGTCTTATTGCTCTGGTTAAAAAAGGTCAGCCATCTCCGCCAGGTCCACATCGCTCAAAGCTTTCATATGGCCATACCTGACCCCATGAGGCCCTGGTACATTGCCCTTTGCCTTTTTCAAAATTTGTTTGATATCTTCTACTCGTATCATGTCTTCATAGTGCATATTTTTTAAGGTGCTAGCTAACTCCTCTCTAACTGAATCCCTGATGTCTACATCATTATGATCTGTCTGAGCTATAAACCTGTGGAGGAAAACCTCCCCTTTCTCCTTGTCTGTTGTCAAACGCACACCATCGTCTCTACAAATTGTTCCGACTGCCTTTGCAGTTTCCAGAATTTCCCCAATGTTTTATAGCCTCCCATGTAATTCACAAAAGTTTCCCACTTTGATCTTTTGGCCTCTGCAGCACAGCGCTTAAAAACCTCCACCTGATCTTTTTTCACATTCTCCGCCATCTCCACTTCCTCTCGTGAGCTTGAGGGTGTCTGTCGTACTTTCTTTAGCTGCTCCACTGCGGCTCTCTTTGCCTTCCACGCCTGTTCTACTTCTGGAGTCTACAAATGGCTGTGTCTGCATCTCCATACCTCATTGCCATTCTAGTCAGCCTCCCATCATTGATGCAGACCACATCAGAGTCAACCATGGCCCTTGCAAGAGCATTTCCCTGTCGGTTTTCTCCACTGCTGTCCCATTCTCTGTACCTCGCGTTGAAACCCCCACACATGAGTAACCTATCACCTGGTAACTCCTCCAATTCCTTTAGCCAACCCCATTGTTCCCCTATGACAAAACAATCTACCGTGGCATATATATTTAAGAGGTTCCAACTTTAACAACCAATCTTCACCTGTATCCCTTGAACCTCTCTTCCGCTGTGGTTCCACTGGCTCAAGTTAAGCAACACATGCTTCACTCCCTCCTTTACCACTAGACCTTGTCCACGTCTCTCCTGTCCAACAGAGTTTATATAACTGACGTACACAGGGCAATAATATCTGTCTGTATTTAGCTCCTGGAGCATGATAATATCAAAATCAAAAATCGATCTCTCCAGTACAGGACATCTCTGCCTAGCATTCTGACAGTTCCAGTATCCTACTCTTACATGATTAAAGCTCAATCTCTCCACTTTTCGTCTTGTTCTCCTAGCACCTGCCCTCCTATTCATGTGCCATATTCTCTTCCCATTCCCTCGTCGTCTCCTCCTCGCTCTCTCTTTCACTAACTGCTGAAAAATGTGTCAAGCGCAGAGCGCGTGCCCCGTAGCTCCAGCGACGATTCTTATGTATATTTTTAAAATCATATGAAAAAAAGGGGTACTGCAAGAAATAACCGGTCACCCTAGTATTGCCTGCTTGCTAGGGAAGGGGCAATGGATGTCCCGTAGGAGTCCATACGAGATGTTTGATCGTATCTATTTTGAAAGAAACAGAAACACACAGTTTGGAAGAAGAAGAAGAAGAAGAAAAAAAAAAAAAAAAAAACTGGTTTACTGTGTGTTTTTTTTTCCCCCTTTAGCGCAAGCCTTTCTTTAGATTTGACGCTCTATATTTGCAGTCTGCAGGGTTGACTTCACAAGGAATAAAATCAAACAGCTAAAAATCGCGGAAACTCTATTCAACCATATAGCCATCTAACACAGTTATATGCCACTTTGTTGGAAAATGTACAGACAGATAGACTCGCTGGCTCTGCACAACTTGGTGGTATACTGCTGCATGATAAGGCAGACGTAGTTAGGGACGTATGGGAGACCGTGTGCTATTCGGAAGAGCAAATGAATCGCCAGTCTGGTGAGAGTGATGCAGCGGGAAGTGACGAGGGGATCTGGTGGATACTTGACGCTCAGAGGAAAGGCAAGACGGGCGTATAATCACAATGATGCTGGACATATTGGTACTGGAGCTCTGCATTGGCTGCTTAAGATGGGGACGGAGCACTTATGGGATTGCCCGAGTGCTGTGATGTCAGTTTTTAAATCAGTTCAACTCAGCGGAGCACCACAGAACGGGTACGAATTAACATGAGTTCCAGCACGGCCCAGCCACGAAAATCAAGCCTGTTACCACAAGCAGTGCGACAAATAGAGGTTGATTCAAGACTGTCCTAACAGCATTGCATGCCTCCTGGCAAAGCATTACACCGCACCGATGTCTACACGCAGCCACTCAGGGGATACGAATGTAAGTTTCAATTTGAAAAAAAAAACAGCACTTACATCTATTGGTAAAAAGTAAAGTAAAGATCCATTTTCCCGCCTTAGAAGCATTGGGCATCTGCGAAAAGCACCCATATTTTTACAGACCAATCGGCACTAGGTGGGTAATGTGGTCAGCATTACGCCGGCCGTCTTTACTTCCCCAGGACATCCATCCTGGTACCCATTTCAGGCTGAGTCGACCTGCCACACCCCATACCATGATAAAAACAGCCAGTAGTTGGTTTCGATCGCGGTACGTTGGAATTACGAGTCGGACTCGCAACGCCTAAGCCACGGACACCGAACATCTATTGGTATTTCAACAAAATAAATGCTCTGGCTCTCTTGTACCTGAAAGCAGAGGCCCCACCCTGGCTATTACCTAATTATTGAACGCGGTTTCCGGGACCTCTCCACGGGTGATCCTCATCCGCATGGTGGCACTTTGTGTCACCGGGTGTTTATCGCTTTGTGTGATGTCCTGGAGGGGTTGGGGGGGGGGGGGGGTACAATTTACCTACTTACTGGCAGTCTGATATTAGACTTGCGTCATCTGCATATTCCAAACACTCAAAAACAGAATGAAGCGATCATCTGATACCTCCGTGCCTAATCTTTTGTAACGTCCTTCATCAGTCAGTTGCCTTCTTCTTCTTCTTCTTCACTTCCTCTTTTCCCGCTGTGGGCGTCGAGGGAGATATAAGGTTCTGTTTCTAGCGCTTCTGGCTGCCTCGACCATAGGCACATCGTGCTTTTGTAGAGTTTCTCTGATATTATCCTTCCATATTGTTCTTGGTCTACCTCGTGCTCTACGTCCTTCTTCTCTTTCCATGTATGCTTTGTATGGTATGGTGTCACAGGACATTCTCTCTAAGGGGGTAAACCATTTCACATGCTGTCTTCGTATGTAATCCAGAATTGGTTCTGTGTCGACTTGTTCTTTTATGATCTCATTCCTGATCTTATCTCTTATGGTCACTCTTACAGCCCTTCTCAGACATCTCATTTCCGTGGTTACTAATTTTCTTTTATGGTTTGTTGTGAGTGACCATGTCTGGCACTGGTAGCACAGAGTTGGAATAAATATGCTTTGAATAAGATGTCTCTTTGTGCTGATTGGGATTGTCTTATGCTGTAAGAGGGGGGCTAGCTGTCCCAATACTTGGTTTGCTTTACTGCATCTAATGTCAATTTTAGTCAGTTGTAAAAAATAAAAAGTAAACGTCCCTTTTTCCCGCCTATAGGTGTATTGGGCATATAGGGCTAGACCTATATTTTTATAGACCAATCGGCACTTGGTGGCTGATGTGGTCAGCATTACTCCGGCCGCCTTTACTACCACGACTGGACCTGGTACCCACTCAAGGCTGGGTCGACCTGGGAGTCAAGGTCCTTTTTGAATAAAATATCCGGCTCCGTCAGGACGCGAACTCACGACCTTCCGATCCACAGGGCGGGCATCTAGCCGCCAATGTCATGGCGACTCCCAATCTTCATGTTGAACGGCCCCCCAAAAAGGGCGATATTATGTATCCCAGTTCAATTGTTGAAAGAAAAGATAGGCCCGTCTCTCTAGCGTAGTTGGCTAAACCAGATTGCGCGGTGAGCGGGTGACGAACTCCTTGTGGTCCGGGTTCACTCCCGGGGGTGGGCAGAAAAGCCACACTTCTCCCAGATTTATGGTATTTAAAATGGAATCAAGGCCGAAAGGTTGCGATATCCATAATACCGAGCCTAAGGGTTAACAACTCATGGCTTCTGGATACTAAAAAAAAAAAAAAAACAACAACAAACAAAGAAAAGATAAGATGAGACAAGACAAGTTAAGAAAATACCAGGTGAAATAAAAGAAGCCATGATGCAATACGACAAGATACGACGACAAGAAATGAGACAAGATAACACAGGACAACACAATACACGACAAGACGAGATAAGACGGGACATGTCAAGATGGTAACAGTATTGCTTACTTACTTAGTCGCTCCTCTTCTATCTTGGGGTGTAGATGTTTGTCTGAGAAATCGCCAGACTTCTCTGTCAGCAGTTTTCTTTCTGGCTTTGTTCCATTCCAGTCCTCTGTCGTTTAGGGACTGTCGGATGTTGTCTTCCCAGCGGACCCTGGGTCGCCCTGGAGATCTTGTTCCCTGTTCCTAGACTCTCTTGCCTGCCATCAGTGTGGTTGATTCTCTCCCATTCTTCCTACATGTCCAAACTATCGTAACTGTGACTGATCCACTCGAGTTTGTAATGGCTTGGTTTCAACATGATGACGTATCGTCTGACTGCGAACTTTACCCCTTCCGGAGACATTTGGACCACCATTCTCAGACGTCAAATTTGTTTCGGAGGAGCAAATAATCACCACAGTGTAGTGAGAGTGAGGCAGCCGGGAGTGACGAGGGAATCTGGCCGATACTCGGCGCTCAGAGGAAAGGCAAGACGGACGCATAGCCAGAATAATGCTTGAAAATGGCTTCTCTGAGCTGTTGTCATTGCCCATGACTCACACCCGTAGGTCAGAACTGGCACATTGGCAGAGCAGTAAGCAGCCATTTTCGTCCTCAAGCCATTTCCTCTTGTGCTAAGAAACCCTCGGTTTAAGGCAGGGAAAATCCTAACAACTGCTTTTCGAGTAGCTGACTCTGTCTTAAACCTCCATTTCGGTCTATTACAACTCCAAGGTATTTGAAATGGTTGACTTATTCACTGTGTTCTATCATGATCATGAGTTTCTTCTCCTCTCTTGACATCACAATGGTTTTGGTTTTAGAGATACTGATTGTCATCTCTCACTTCTCAAGCTCTTCCGTCCAGACACGTGAGTTGGATTGAATGTGTGCCGCTGATTTCGATTAGAGGCAGTTTCATCCACCAGGCCTAACGACTCTGCGGGCAAACCAATGATCTGCCTGCAACTGATAGAAGAAACTGTGGAGCAGAAGTGTATATCGAGCATCCAAATAATACCAGACACAGAAGTGACTGTCCGTGTTCCGGGACACGCAGGCGTCGATGGAAATAAAGAGCTGACAGGTTGGCTGGATCCGCTATCACTACCGACGGTCAGCCTATGGATCATGCTGAGTTTATCAATGCCCCAGAGAAATGGGAAGGATAGACGACTTTGGTGGCAGTGCAAATCACTCGCCATCTCGGCACAAAAAAACGAGACGCACACCAGTTACGCCAGAAGACTTGTTAATCAACATAGAACTGGTACTATTAGCCATCGGAGTGGGGTTCATACTGATAGAGCTGAGCACCTATGGACATGTCAGTGCAATGAATAACCCAACTAACTAACAATACCAGATATACAGCCAAAATACCTACAGAAAGCACTGTCACAACTATGATGCAGAAGTTCAAGCCATCAAAATAGCCGAAGAGAAACTGTTAAATATACGCCATTTTTTACAACCAGTGGTATTTCTGACAGATGCAAGAGCGGTACTTCAGGCACTCTAATCTGGAAAACTACCTGGTATACGAACACTACTCTCTAAACTAGGCAGCCGGTGTAAGATAACTATGCAATGGATACAATCCCACTGTGGAGTTCATGGTAATGAAAGAGCTGATAAACTAGCTAGAAAGGAAGGTGCAAATGAAGAACCCCAGACATACTAGTCACTACCAACACAAGAAGAGAATAATCAAATCAATCAGAAAGCCACCAACACTTCGCAGCCTCGTGTACACAAATTTAAAATCGGCGAATCAGCTATGTGCACATGAGGATTGGCACCTGAGACAACAGATCATGTCCTCCAAGATTGTCCCAAATACAACACATCAAAGCAAAACTTTTGGCCAAGAAATACATCGGTGCAAGTCAAACTTTACGGGTCGCTGATTGAGTTACAAAAGACAGGGAAGTTCGTAATAGATACAACACTGCAGATAAAAATATTCTGTTTCAAATGAACGAAAGAAGCAGAAGAAGAAGAAGCTATCAGGGCCACATCGTCTGCAAATGCCAGCTCTGATAAACCGACTGGTCTCATATTCCAGTACCCTAGTGTGTACTTCTTTGTTTTTTCCTTACAGGTCTTGGTGAAATCGTCCATCAGAAGGACGAAGAGATAAGGTGAGAGGATATCTCCCTGTCTAACGATACTTGTGGTCTTAGATTCTTCTGACGTTTGGTTTCCTGTTCTTAGATCATTTCAGCAGTTTTTGTAGAAACTCTGTTTTGCACTGATCAGGGGAAATGGAATGTTCTTCCTTGCCAATACATTTACTAGATCCAAAAAACATCGGTGCATCTCACTCTTATATTTAAGGGCTATTCCACTCATCTGTCTAAATGGAAGACACGGTCTTGAGCACTTCAGTTTGCTCTGAAGTCGCATTGGGCCTGATCCAGCTGTGGCTCTGCCAGACTTCTCAGTCTGTGCTAGAGAATTGTAGATTACCGTTTACCAGGAACGTTGAGGAGAGATATGCCTCGGTGGTTTTCAGATGATGATTACAGACAAGATGATATTTGCAAACATTTTTTTTTAAAATAAATACTTACGACTCGCGATAAAGTTTGGCTTCCTCCGACTTAATACGCTTCTTAGCGTTGGCCTCGTGCGTGACAATAAGCAGGCTAAGGATAATCACACCGGCAAGGATGCCCAGCAGAGGATAGAGGGCGGCCATTTTGTCTGGGCAGAAGAAAAATAAGTGTTCAAATTATAGAGAACAGGAAGTTGAATACGGGCAGCAGACTTCCGAAGTCGGATATG